GAAAAATGAATTACCTATTATTTCCAAAAGTTTTGAAAGGAGTGTAAGGAAGGTATGTTTAAATGGATAAACTAAATGTTTCAAAAATGGGATAACAGAATTTTGGTGCTTAACATTGATTACTGTACTGCATGTAAAGATATTAACACATCCTTGCGGCCAAAACCACCTATTGTCAATGACTTATACTGCCCCTAAGTTCATAACTCACGATATTTTTTCATACTTCGTACCTCGCCTCTCAACCTCGCACACACTACCGTATCACAGGACTTTTTACAAAATATAGAAATAAATATACTGATTCTCACCTTCAATCTCTTCTAGGCGACTAGATGTCTCGATAGGCATAAAGCCGACATTTACATACTTCATCTTTCTTCGACCAACATCATGTGACCCAAAGCAAGAGCACTATTCAATGGTTTTAATCGCAAAGCTCTCTTATTTCAATCACCTGTTCCGAGCATTATCAAACACAATTCAAATTGTGACATAGCATTTAGGTTACATGTATGGCACTTGTGCATTATTTCCCCAGTTTTGCCAAGACCAATTGCATGCGTAAGAAAATTTCACTTTGCTTCAGTCTGAACCTGGTCAGAAGTTCAGACTCTGAAAGCAGCAGAGCTTTAGATCACTTTAAATCGCGTTTGAACCTGGTTTGAACTCTCTTACATTGTTTTATCGTTATCGATTATTACATACATTACATACGCACTCGTACCGGTTAATGCTCGTTCGTACATGCAGAGAGCAGCAGAGAGTATCAGGGAGAGTATTTATCCGCAAAGAGTATATATGTGTAGAAGAACAAGAATAAACAAAAATCTCAGCTCCACTACTCTGTGGCGGCCAGCGACAAAATCTACTCCCAAATGGAACCCCGCGCAATCTGGGTGGTAAGGAAGCGCGGGAGTTCAAATTCCCGCCGGGAGCCTCCCGCTGGGAGCCCTTCATATACGAAGAAAATACGAAATGCATACTTAAAATTTGCGCTTCTGATATTCTTAGATCACAAAAAGTTTTCTTTGAAAATAATATTTCCGAAACGGAGGTTAATAAGATGCTGTATTTCAGTGGTGTGCATTTCAACTCCAGCTGCTGGGGGAGGAGCAAAAATGGGGCGGCCCACTTATAGACTCTATCCACGGCCACCTGAAGATCGCCGTGCTCTAACCCCAGCTCTGTAATCTTCGCTGGGGAAGGGAGCTGCGATTGCACGTAATTCAATGGGCCAGCGGCTGAGGAGGGGGGGAGCAGTAGCAGATATTGCTCTGAACTCAGATAACTATGAAATGAAAAATAATCAGGATATTTTGAACGCTAGTAACAAAACTAAAGCAATGTGGAATATTGTAAAAAATACGACCACTCATCTCGTTACTTAGTAGAGTGTTGTTTTAAAGGATAATGAAAGAGAAGCCAGTAATCCGAAAACATGGCTAATCACTTCAACCAACACTCTAGTAGAATTGCGGTTGAACACAAGAAGGGATTAAAGCTACAAAATCCAACATCATTCAAAAATTTAGTAATAAATGCTTTATCTAATCACTTAATCGTGAAAATTATGAGGAATTACAGCCCTACACGGTGGGATATGATTATCTCCGAAGAACTCAGTTAGAAATTTCGACAATTTTCCGCGGGTTATCCAATCGAAAATTATTCGTTTTCTTTCATTTTTATAAAAAAAAACTATGTAGTATTTTGCTAGTCATGAAAGAAAAATGGATTTTACTTTCTGAAACATTTGCAGGAAGCAGACTTCATTTTCCAGTACCGTAAGTTAGGTACGATTATTTACTTTGTACTTGATAATCTATTTATGGTTTAAATTTTAATACTTATAATTTTAACTAAATTTTACTTCTTGCATCCTCTTCGCAACTTCTGTCACAGTTTTTGGTATAATCTTTCTACACCTAAAGTTCTGGTTTGTGCCTTTTCACTTTTTAATATAACTGTTACCTACCGAGTAACCCACACGTAATTTGAAAACTTCCCGACAGCTGTTCAGCCACGGCTGTTTATGTTCAAGGGTTTATGTTTGTACATGGCTCCCGTCAAGACACCATGGCTTCTCATGGTTCACAACTGTTTAATTATATAAACAATAAATTGATAAAACGCAAACCGCCGCAATAAATTGATAAAACGCAATATATAATTGATAAAACGCAAAACGCAAAACGCAAACCGCACAGGAACAGGAAACACGTGCACCAGTATGCGTGTGGCATTCAAGACTCAGTTTTCAAGTAAACATAATACTTATCCCACAAAAAGAAAATTCAATGTAATGTTTATAAGCAAATAATTTTTATAGAAGAGCATATCAGCACTGCACTTCCTAATTTCAATTATTTCTCGAAGCGAACTATATGTTTGACAGACGACATCACAAAAGGAAGCGTCGAAGCCATTTACAGGTTAGCCAACTGCAAACGAATAAATGAAAGAAGGAGATACAAATGGGTTGGAGGACACGACGACCACAGAACCTTCAGTTATGTTGCCAGCACCAGCTGTCAAAACAGTCTGCATCGTATAAAAATCGCTCTATATCGAATGGCTGTTAGGCGTTCAACCGCCCCGATCTCCCCTCCCGACGTCATTTCCCCTATCGCCGAGTGACGACCATCCCATGGAGGCAATACATGGGTCCACGTACGAACCGATATTTTCTCGTTCTGCGAACCACCAGTTTGCGTCACGAACCACGTGACCACAGCACAGGCACTGCGTTTGATAAGCCAGACCAGACGCTGGCCGCCATGTTGCATGGAGAGCGAGAAGTGTTGAAGAAAACTTTGAAAGTGGTACAAAATGATAGTTTTCTCTGGCAACCAACCAAAAATAACGCAATGAAAGTGTTCAAGATGCAACATTAAAAAGAAATAAATCTGTTTCAATCTCTTGTAACGAGGTGATGATTGATAAATAAATCGGCCCAGAAGCTGCAAGCTCTGAAGATGACCGCTACGCGATCGAAATGATCATAAGTTGAATTAAAATGTTGATACCTGACAATATCTTTATTTATTTATCATAATAAAAAGGTATCTACTTTACCAACAATCCAATTAAAGAGGTGATGATTTTTGAATCTGGCTGCATTTAAAATTCGCGCTAATATTGTGACGCAAACTGGTGTCTGAAGTCGAATACAATGCGCAAGAGCTGCCCCTGGTCCATCCCCCTTCGACATATCACAGCTCGCGTACGGACTTTCTAGGCTCGTACGCCGAAATTTGTTCTGAGCGGCTCGCGGAGTTTCTGAGTTGGGGAAGGCATGGGGTAGCTGATTACCCAGCGTTACCTGGATATTCCGGAGTCGCCTGATTGCATGCCGCAGTCAGTATTCCCTCACACCCACTTCCTAGCTAATCCTACTTTCTATTTTGGCTACCTGAGAAGGCATAACCCGATTGCATCCCGGCCGGTGTTTCCGGAGGGGGAAAGAGGAAACAATGTAGTCAATTTTTCATTCATGAGTAACGCAAATAGATGTTCTTGCACCATGAAAAATCCTTGACTACGTGTGAATACAGAAGAATCTTCAAAGCCGTTTAAGCAGAGTAAGAAGACCGAAAAGGTTCCGACGATAGTAGGTTTCAAGTGTTGTGTCCACAAACTCTTAAATGGTGATTTTAACATTGTCAACGTTCCGAAGGGTCATACATATATTTCTTGAAAAGATAAATCTTACAAACTACTTCAATATGAATCGTACGAAAGGGAAAGGGTGATCTTCGAGGCAGTGATACCTACGCAGGCTCTTCCTTGCACCCAAGAGGGAAATTGAACGGCACAGTTTTTTGGGGGAGGCAAGTAAAAGGTTTAGTAAAAGTGGACGGCGGAATGCAATCGGGACGCATCTGAATCTTCATCACGGGAATCGCTCGATTTCACCCCGCTCAGGTTTCCGTTACACTCGCGTCCCAGATACACCTCTTTCACTTTTTGCTACCTAAGAAAGCATAGCACGATTGCATCCCGGCCCGTGTTTTGGAGGGAAAGAGAAAACAACTAATTTAAGTTCCAATTCACGAGCACGTAACTCAAATACATGTTCTCGCACCAATCGAAGGAAATCCTCGTACACAGATGAACGTGGTAGAATCTTCTGAATTGTGTATGATATCTAACTAAATTATAATTAAAGAACTAAATATTTTAATTCTTCAAATGTCGATGAAAGATCACAGTCCCTATATCTCCTCCCTTGGACCAGATAATAGTGTACGTTAAAACCAGGTTCATAAATTCAATAAATTCATAAAAACCATCAATGTTTAGTACAGTTTAATTAAAAAATACCCTTTCCTTTTTCTATCTGTCCATTGTAATACAGTATTAATATGAAGTTAACAATGCTAAATAGAACATTTCTTCTTTTCTTCCATGATACTGAAATATGAAAACGAAAGGATGATCTTGCCAGCAAAGATACCAGGGCGAGCTCTTTCTTTTACTCAACAAGACAAGTGAACGGATTGGGACTCTGCCTTTTTGGGAAGGTAGGTTAAAGGCTTAGGAAAAGTTGGCCGCGGGATGCATTCGGAGTACCGCCACTCATCACAATCATGAGCAGCTCCGCCCTCTTCTCTCCTGCTGCAGCCCTGCAATACGCCCAGCGCTGCCCAGCGTCGCTGGAAAACTGGAATGGCCAGACGTTCTCTTTTTTTCGGACATGTCTTCCTTTTTTACCTTTCTTCGGGGTTCATGAGGATTTCTAAAACTCTTAAATTTCCTTCTATTTGTATCTTGCTCGTTTGAGAGAACGAATTTTGTACAATTTGGAATTGCAACCCCTTATGGTATGCAAAGTTTTAGAGCAATTACTTCATTAGTAGAAAAGTTGTTGTGCAGGAGAAAAACAACAAATATACCTACATAAAAAATAAATTGGTACTTCTAGCGCCTAGTGATGAATAGACTTTTTCATTTTAATCAATAAAAATAATTTTAAAAAATTCTGAAAAAATAATAATTTATTTTATTTTCATTTGTACATACTATAGTTAAACAAAAGTATTAAAAAAGAATATTGTAAAATATTATATCTTTAATAAATTATTGACAAAAAGTTAATTTTGGTTTAACAAGAAAATAAAATATGTAACAAAAACAATATTCATATGACAGTGATTTTAAGAAATCCGGATGAAATTGTTTCTAATGAATGTTTGTGTGTTAAGCTTATCTAGTTTTCATGTTCTTACATTGAGATTAACCTTAATTTACAACTTATTAATTTAATTTTTAAAATTAAGGAAGTTTAAAATAAATAATGTAATAAAAATTAAATAATTGAATACTACATCACTTCCGGATCGCTTATTTTTTTAAATATTTGAACATTAATGCACACGAGTGAAGACAACATTTATCTTGAACGTAACACTAACTAAACACAAAACAGCCAAGATGATGAGTAGCATTTCACAGGGAAGTCAATTGCCACATACTATCTGAATTTGTCTTCTGAAGGAGAAAATGAGAGAAGAGTAGAAACTTTTTTTTGATCTTTTCTTTCTCAATTTTTTAAAAGAGAAATGGATGACCGAGAAATGAGGGTTTTCCCTTCCCACAGAGAGCTCAATGTTCCCTGCTGAAGAAGCATCTAAAATTATTCTTACCAGGGAAACACGCAATCCATATAAGGGGCTTTATTTATGATTTCCTCACTCTGGAGTGTTGAAATGACAGAAATTCGAAAAAAATCTGCAAAGCATACTTAGAATTTATTCAAAGTGTGGTATGTAACCGAATATGGAATTCGTTCCACTATTCAATCTTCTATTTGCCCCTCCTGCAGTTTTGAATGTCCATTTATGGATGATATTTTCAATTTCACTGTCTTTCAGCACAACATATTTACGAATGCTCAACTTGAGGAAACATTCTTCATTTTTCTCAGTGTACTTTCATTCTGTTCGTTTATTTAGAAATATACAAATTATTGTCTTTGATCACTCCAAATTGCATTACACAAAGTAAAATGCTAAAGAATGGTTTCCACCACTTGAGATTTAGTGAAACTCAAGAAAACCTGAAAAAGTAGAAATCAAAGGTAAGTGTAAATACTAGGTATGTAGCTTAAAAACATTTTTTCACATTGAACATCAAAGATTTTGAGAGTGAGGACGATCTTTCGTAAAATGAATTGGATAGAGATTGGCTAGTGTCAATCATACAATTTGTTGTTCTGTCAACATGACAAACAGTTATTGAAAAAATGTTTTCCTATTAATTCTATGATACATTTATGAAATAGTAAAGGATAAATTTTGTGAATCCACTGATACTAAACTTTCCCAAGTTGGTCCTTGAGATAAGCACCTTTTAAGGGTCCGTTATTTAAGTAAGTTAATAATTGTACGCAAATCCAAAAGCAAAGTGTGATAAAATTTTACTAAGATATTTATGTAGAAAACAATATTTTTTTGAAGTTCGTAAAAATGTAAATACCTGTTCTAGACTTGTCTGTCCAAGAGAGTAGTCTTCGATGTGTAGTTCCTGTTTTGCACGTTCCATAATTCCAAACATCTGAGACCAAGTAAGAGTTGAACTTGGAATGTAATATGTTAAAAGACCCATGAAATCTTCTCTCAGGAGAGCACCTGCACAGAAGTGCCACAATTGTATTGCAACAAATTACACACATTTTCGGCAATTGGACCACAAAACTTGGTCATTAAAAAGTGCGTTGTGGGTGGTTTATGGAACCCTTATTGTGTCTTTAAACATATTATTCACACATCATTTCTTATGTCGTAAATAAGGGAAAATGTGTACGTCGTAAATAAGAGAAAATATGTTTTTATCCAGATACTCATCAAGAAATTTGATTTTGAAGGGCATCAGACTATATATTTAAAAAATGAATTTTAAAAAATAACTTGATGTGCTAAATACCACGTACTTTCTCGTATTATTGGTAACCTTTACATAGTAATGGAGTAGCCTGCGCCCTGCGCCCGTCCGGTCGCCATTCACGGCTAGTCCCCTTCCGGTCCTCCAATTGAGACAAATGACAATTTGGCGCGCCTCAGCCCCGTGCTGGGCAACAAACTATATTTTGGAGGATCCATCCAGAATATTCTAAGAAGTTTATTTAAAAGTTCTTTTGAGCTTTTTAAGCTACTTTTTGGGTGCTTGACAGCACTTTGAGACGTATTCAATAGCTCATTTGACTCCTGTCGGAAAGACAAATCTATTGGCACAATTGTTAACCGGTTACAATGAATATATGCTAGATACGTTTTAGATAAAAACATGTATTTTTGGTGGGTTCAATGCACCTACCAGTTAAACTATTAAACGCTACTGACTCCCATTACATTACATACTTTAAACATCACTATTGTAGCGTCGCGGCAACGCAGCAGCTCAGACCTGAAGCGCAAGGCATAGGGTTGGGGGTCTAAAAATAGCGGCCCGAACAAAAGACTGAACTTTCCAAAAGGGATGCGGCCGCGTGCAAGACAACGCCAGAGAGTGTCTCTATCCAGAGCGAGGTGGGGGTGTTGGTGGGGGGGGGGGAGAAATGACGTGGGAGGTCATGTGACTCGCGCCTATATAACGTCGCGTCGCGATGGCGCGGGTTGGTAACAACTCTGGTTTCCGCGCGGCTTGTGTTACCCACCCGCTTGTGTTACCCACTCGCGCCAGCTGTACATTTGTGCAGTTTTGTGAACTCACGTAACGTGCGGTGGCGTGAACGCGCATTGCACTTTACGTGCGTTCACAAAACTGCACAAATGTACTGCTGGCGCGAGTGGGTAACAACTCTGGTTTCCTCGCGGCTAGCCCACAAAAGCTTTGTCCGCCCAGGCTGGATTTGGAGTGCCGATATCACATGGTGGTTGGACGTGTTCGGACCAGGCGACGTGTTTATCGTACACAGTCAGGCAGATAGCCGATCTGCCGGGGCACACCTGGTGCCAATTTGCGAGGCGGCCTAGCAGCCCTGTCGCAAGGCGCATGTAGGGAGAGGGGGGCTGCAGTGGTAGCCCTGGCAAACCGCCTTAGAGTGAGGTTTTGTAAATATGTACATCTTGCAAAGAAACTTTTATATACTCACTCGTGTCTGTTTTCCGTGTGGTGTAGATGCCTACCCACGACGTTACACTAAACTCTCTTCCTGGCATTCACATGCATCTTTACAACTTTATTCTTCAGATTGAAAATAATTAAACCTAACTTTATGACCCAGAAATTTAAACGAACGACTATGAGCCGGGTAACTGTATTCAGTTTTAATTTATTCTTTTATGAAATTGGAAAGAACAAATAAAACTTTTTAAATGAAAATATGCGCGAAGGTGCCACGCTAAAGTGCATTATAATATTGCCCCTTATTATAACTAACACTTGAGTCATCACTTGAAAAACTAAAACAATGCAAGTCAAAATTACGCAAAAACTAATAATATTTTGAATAAAGTACATAAATGGTTTACATAACTAAATTTGGGGGATTATGTGCATTAATTAAGGTATCTATATCTCTAGTGTTGAAGGTGTAGGGCAATTTCCAAAAATATGCTAACTTTTGCAATTTTCGAAACATCAAAATATACGTTTCAACCCTCAAAATATAAATGGCGCTTATTCCCTCAAAATATATGTTTCAAAGTCAAGGGGCTCTACATCAGCTAGATCTATTGGAGAGCATCAAGGTTGTTGGAAACTCTGTCTATGATTTAGCCACTAGCGTCGTTCACTCAAGCGCACGGACTCACGGAAAGGCGGACAGATATTTTGCCATAAACCAATTTTTGGGTATCAAGGACACACAAAACAGGAATTCTGACTACATAACGTATTAGAAAACGCAATTTTTTACATTTAGGAACAAGTATTATTCAATTTTAAGTATCAGTACCCAGTAAACGAATTTCATTGGCTATTAATCTCGGCCTAACGACCTCGACTAATAATTTTCCGATCTTGTATTGTAATAAGATGTCTTACGATACCTATTTTCTAGACTTTTCCACTCGGGAAATTAAAACCAATAATATTTAACTATACACATGAGATGCCCTAATCAGGGCAGAGTATTTAAAAAAATGAATTGCATTTTAATCAGACTTTTTACCACTCCATCCTATTGGCCAATAATAAGCTGCGACTCATCTTAGAAGGTGGTGTGTATCGATCGCTGTGTTGACGTCCAATAAACCGCGTATGAACTACAACATAACCTCTTTCATTTTAACATGCTTTCAGTTGTTTCCAATAATTGGCACATTTTGAAAGTCTGTTGAAAGTAATTTTATGTGTGTAATTGTCCTATAAAATACCTCACGTGATTCCTTGCTTCGCAAGTCTGAGATTTATCGACAATTTCCAAAGCACTTGTGGAACACCTATGATAACTATTTCGGTATAGGGGATCCTCAAATTGTGAATTTAAACTGTACGAATATTAAAAATATAGTAAAAGTAGTACTGTACCTGGAAAAGTCGCGTCCACAAAGTTCTTAACAGCAGTTACATCTGGGGTAAGCGAACTTATCGAAGTTACAGAGAAAGTTCTTGATACCGGAGATGAAGGTGAGGGATTACCCACTTTGATGATAAGTGTATAACCTTCAGCAAACTTATTCTTCAAATGCTGAGTGGAACCCAGACATCTGAAGGTTCCATTTACCATGATGACTAATCTAGTACACAAGGCTTCACATTCTTCCATGCTGAAATGTTTGGATTATTTTAGAATTACGTTCTGCACCATGACACAAAAGTATGTAACTAATTTAACGTGAAAGACTATTATATTGTTCCAAGTCAGTAAAATATTGAAAAAATCCTTTATATACAAGCTAGTGAAGTATAGGTTTGTTGGTATTGATGAATTTTTATGAGATTATTACACTAAAAGATTTATGAAAAATGACTTTACTGCATATCTCAATTGACAAAACAGAAAAGTAATGCATCTTACCTTTCAATATTTTATCACGCGTAGATAAGTCGAGTTTACGTTTTGTTACCATTTCATATTGAATACATTGTTGTTGTAAACAAAAATTAACACTTTTATTATATAAAATGAATTGATATTATGTCTACCTGTGAGAAGTGAGAATAATGCTCTTGCCCCTGTCACGAACTTTGCAGATGACATTCCATAGATGTCGCTTAGCCACCGGATCCATCCCAGTTGTTGGTTCATCCAGAAAAACCACAGGAGGATCTCCAATCAAAGCCACTGCCGTACTGAGTTTCCGTTTATTACCGCCACTGTAGAGTACAATTCAGGAAATTAATTACTCGTAATTTTTAGAAAATTTTGTATACTTTTTATTAGTTTTCATTTCATAACTTTGTTGCAATCTTCAGACGCCTAATATTTGTAATTTATATAGATGAAATTGAAGCATTTATCTGCAATTTTAAAATTACAGCCTTTTTACATTAAGTAAATAGCAATTCAACTGTTTTTATTTGAGTTTTGTCGGTCAGTTTGGCTAATTTTTGGTACAGCTGATCCGATTAAATGATTGATTTGTGATTCCGGGCGCGACAACTGGTCATTAGTCTCGTAAGTGTAGTGCATGTGTTTTGCTAGAGAGGTGGCGGTAATCTTTCTCCGCTGGATGGAGAGATCCGACTCTCGTCCCGTCTCCCGACTTGTGCGATAGTGTGGTGCATTTAAGCGTACGTGTATGTAAGTGATTAATGTAAGTATTATGTAAGTAAGTAAGTACGTGTATGTAAGTATTATATATATATATATATATATATATATATATATATTATACTTAAGGGATATATATCCCTTAAGTTTTGTCATTTGTCTTGTAACGTCGCAATCAGTCAGTGCCTTTTATCTTTTCGACCACGGGCTCGGCGCCGTTAGTAACCGGAGTTTCCAGACGGTCTCCCATCCAGGAATCTGTGGTATCTCGAGTTTCTTAACTTCCGTAACTTTATGGAGCGTAGTTAAGCAATTCGGCTTACGACGCCGGTTACACTACACGATATTAGACAATTACCTTCCAAGATCTTCAAACACATGAATAAGCAAAATCAAGAGATAATGTTTGTAAAGAAATGAAGATTATTAGTTTTACAACACACATACTTTATCGGATTATTGGTAACGGTTACATAATATTATAAAGTGCCGCTTAAATCCTACTAACATTTCGGCCGCTCTTCAAAAATAACCTTAAGTCAAAACAAGAAACTGCTACTACAGGCTCTTCGATAATATTATGTATGATTAGGCGTACGCAGCTTAAAACAAGATTGATAACTACATGGCCTCCTTTGGGACTTCCTTTTCATTAAACATTTCTTTTCCATTTGACACTTTTGACTAGTAAATAAATAAAATATACAAGGAGAGCATGGCTCTCCCTGTGAGCACGCCTATGTATGTGTGCATCTTCTATAGCTCTAATCAGCTTACCTATATTCCTTGACTTTTTTGTCAAGATGTTTAGTAAAAAGTAATTCATCAGCTAGATCTTGTGATATTTTATATATTTGACCTGCAGGAATTCCTCGTAATAAGCAGAACATTCGTAGGGTCTCCCGACCAGTCATTTCCTCAATTAGAGCATCAAATTGAGGACAGTACCCAATTAACTGATGTACCTGAAATATGAGACAGCATTATCAATATCTCTGAGAATGGAGTATTCAAGAATTAAATATTCAAAAGAGCAAAAGTAGAATGTTTTAGTTCTTGTAGTTCTTTCTATTCTTCTCACAAGAGAAATAATATTGATTTGGACTTCTACAGGGAAATTTGAAAAATTTAAAGATATTACAGAAAATAAGTTTGAATGTATGTGTAATGCAGAAATTGTTGCAATGAAATGTAACTCTTGTGCATTAAAAAATCATTTTTTAGTATAAAAAATGTTTTTATTATCTAAACGCTGAAAATTGGATTTTTCTTGCTCCTCTAAAGTACTTTCTCCGTGTAGTCAGAATCCTCGTTTTGTGGATCTTGTAGAGTTGATATTGAATAATGGGTTTTAGAGCAAACATCCGAAAGTCCAATTGTTTAATAGGCTTGCAAACAGTGCTGGCCGTGCACAGGTTTTTCGACAAATTTGATATTCCCCTATCGATTTTGTTTATGTACCTGAAACGGACATTTAAGGTTTTATGGTAGATTCTTTTCATGAACTTCCAACATCTTCAAATTTTCTTTAAATTGGGTTTAATGTTTCTTTAAATTTCAGTCTCGATTATGCCGAAGTACGATGACAAAAATGACGCTAGTTCGATTTTCGTAGAAAACTTTTGTTCGAACTATAAAAGTGAACCATTTATACCAGCACGACTCAGTAAGCTAAGAAGCCGGTTGCAGAACTTGAGTACAATAGAACATCAATTCTCTGGATGGCGTTGAGGAACAAAAAATGGGTTATACTGAAATTACTTTATTCAAACAAGGTGGTTTGTTCGGCTGTTATTACAGAGCATTGTTACTAAACACGTTTATCGTTCCGTGGCGAATGTATTAAAATAGATATGGCCAACTGATGGATCACGACCTTGTTTTATGTGGTCTACAACAAATTAAAAAATATTAGGTCAATATTTTATTCTTCAAACAAATATGTAGATTTTTTCGTAAATCTGTTCAGGAGACGATGTATAAAGCTTAGGACACATCTTATCTACAACACAATTCACCCTCTCAGGACAACAGTAGAATATCTTTGACGTTTATTAACACCAAGACACTTATTTCGTAAAGCACATTCATTATAACTTTTTGCAAACAAATGTCATTTCTATCTGTAAATTAAGAATGTTCACATTTTGAATATAAATATACTTTTAGGGACTATCATGAATGAATTCCATGCCATTCATCGATTTCGTTACGTAAATGTAGGGATTGCTAGGAGCAATTTGTGAAAATATGTTGAAAGGGTGGCAAACATTTCAAGTAAAGAATCCCTAAAAACTAGTAGATACATTTCAAATTCGTAGGGTCATGAGTTCGACCAGATCGAACAAGCAATTCCCATTTTGGGGAAAATCTGATGAATGGTTTAGACCCTAGTGTTGTTGTCAGTCCGGCGGAAAGAGAGAGGGACAAACGAACGTTTGAAAAACTGTTTTCGGTATCAGGGACCGCCAAAACGTGTATTCTCGCTAGAGCGTCAAAATATTTTGTTGTAGGGTAACATATTTGTTTCTACTACGCATACGAGGAAATTAATCAATATAACTCGTGTGAATATTTTACCTGTTTCATGTCCCCTTTGAGACTCAAGCCTTCCAGGTATGCTTCTCCTCCTGTTATACTTTCATCGCCTGTCATCATCTTGAATGTTGTAGTTTTCCCCGCCCCATTAACTCCTAGAAGGCCAAAACACTCTCCCTTCTTCACTCCAATGCAGATGTGATCCACAGCTAAAAATCTTCCATAATATTTTGTAACATCCCTGTCAAACCATTAACCATGATTAGAAACATATCATATTTTTTAAGTATATTATAAACTTATTTAAGTCCTGCAAACACTTTTCAACCAATGATCAAATTTTCTTGAAAATTTAGAAAATAAAATACCTTAATTATAAAAAATACTTCAATCTGAGCATTGGTGGGCAATCTGAGAGAGGCGGGGCGGGGAGAGCGCGGGCGCGGGCGCACTGGGAGGGACGGGCAGGGATGTGGGGGCGAGTGGTATACCAGGGCAGGGAGGGGAGGCGGAGCGGGGAGGGGCGGGTAGACAGGGGTTGATTGGGCTGGGTGGAACGAGGTGGGATGGGGGACGAGCAGGTGGAGCGTGGCGAAGACTTGCTTTGAGCCACATAAAGACGGCCTACTGACCTGGAGCAAAACTCGGGAAAAGCTAGTACGCGTTAAAGATACCGTTCCATCTCCTCTGTCATCAGGGTACATGAGATCCTTGGAGTTGGGCCACAGTCTACATCGGCGGGGCGGGCCGGACCATTGAGGAACGCCTCCGGGAACACATTCGCCACTACAAAAATAAGAGTCGGAGACTAACGTCTAATCTGGAATAATCTCACCTAGCGCCTTTCAAGACTCGCCTCTACGGCTTTATCCTCCCGCAATCCCCCCTCCTCCCACGGTCGACCAATCACGGCCCTCCTTCGCTGCCGCTGATTGGCAGCCTCTGAGGTTTCTCCCCAGTACGTTCCTCTCTTTTTCACATGTTACTCAAAATCAGAATTTCACCCCCTTTCTATTACCACCTTTTCCATGAGCCCGACCCATCCCCCTTCTCAGCCAGCGCTCAGGTCTCCCTCCACCAATGCCCCTACTATCTGCCCGCTTCCTATTGGTCATTTCCCGGACCTATTCTACACTCCCTTCTCCACCATACCAGGAGGCCATGCTGGCCATTTTGCAGAAGTATAGCTGCGAGGAAGGCCACAATATTTTTGCAGAAACGGCACCTACTACACCACTGACTCGGCTTGTCCCTGATGGCCAAGCTTAGTGCTTGCCAACTCAATGCTCTATGACGTCACAGAAACTTGCTCTCCTGCTCCGAGCCGAGCGGCGGAGCAAAGGCAGAGCCCGACGCGGCGGCGGTCGCACAGTGTTCCAGTGATGGTTTGGAAGAGGGGGAAAAGGTTTACTTGGATAAATCGATATTTACGTTTATTAAATGGTAATTATTATTTAGAATGATTATGATTCAATAACAATATGAATAATTATATAGTATATCATACATTTTCTATTACTCAAAGAATATCCGACTCTTTATCACAAACAGTACTGTAGTTCGACATCATTCTTCGATTAGAGACCTTTTTTGGAAAAGACCGTTTTAACATTTTAGGACAACAATATTTTATACAACGGTATATAATATAACGAATTATTTCGTTCTAAAACAATATTTAATGTTAATAGATAACAAATAGGTACCCGGTAGGGGTCAGGTAAGAGAATTTGGACTACCGGCTTGATTATTTTTGATGTACAGTTTTGTTCGAGAATGTAAATCCTCGCTATTTTTAGTATCTTTTTTTAATATTCTATCTGCAAATTGCTTTACTCATCCCATGATTACGGGCTATCTGTCAATTCAAAGAATTTTTTTTATTTCGCAGTTTTCTCTGGGTCGTAAACTTACGTAATGTATCTGTAGGTTGGGCTTTTTAGCATACTGCAGTTCTTTCAAACACACTAAACACTTCGTCATTGTTCCAGTATCTCCAAAAGGAAACATTTTCCCAAACCGAAAGAGAATTAACGGGCGTATCTACGCCCGTCTCCCTCTCATGTTCCCTGAAACACCGGCAAAGGCCCGCTGGCTTTCGCTAACGGCGCCTGCCGTCTGCCTCTCCCTCCCCCTTTTCCTCGCTCTGCTTCTCCATATGCGTGCTCTCGGAGGGGAATTCGGCTGTGACGTCATTTCTCTTTCAGTTGGCAAACGCTGGTCTATATCATACATGCTTCGGCCGCAGAAGCCTACGCAAACATTTCTCTACATTTGCCTACCGTCTGGCCTACCACCTGGAGGGTCGAGGAACCTCGTTCTAATGTATAAACACGTGCTCAGTCCCTCCTCGGGCTTTTCGCCTTCAGGAAGGTAGCAGGACGACGGGCGAAACGTTGGCATCTTCACCTAAAATGCAACGTCTCCCGAAGAACCAAGCCACTGACTTCGGCCGCGGAAACCTAAGTTTTCAGCTTGAAAAATTACGGCTAATGATTTTCCCCTACCTTATACAAAATGTTACTTTAGTAGGATTATGGTTGGAATCACCCATATGTAATGTCTTTTTGATTTTGTTTCAACAAACTGTTAAAGGAAAAAATGTCTCTGCGACTTGCAGAGAAAGTACAAATGCTCTTATTCCACAATAATAAGCTATATACATTTCTTCTACATCGAGTAACGTTCGATTGAATTATCATGTTTCAGAAAAATAATTTGTTGAATTAAAAATGACAATGAAATTGAAAACATGTTGCAATTTTTTTCTGTAACCCAAAGTCAAAATCTTCATGTTAAATATTTTCCTCCTCTTTATAAGAAAATCTAAGTACAATTCATCACTTTAATCATTATCTTAAATCAAACAAATTATGTATTTATATGTTCTTGTTAGAATTGTATATTAATCTCACACTTGTTTCACCTACCTGAGAACAAGACTGAAATTGTTGGTGAGTTCTTGAATTTCAGATGAACAAATTTTCTCTTTTTCCTCTAATACATCTGAATCTATTTCTTCTTCTGGTGAGATTTCCTCTCCTTCTAGTAAAAGAGAAAACACTGAGATGAATACAATATTCCTATAGAGTCTGATTTTAAGTTACAAATACTTACAGTCTAGGATATACTTCGATTTGAAAGCTGTTTATGATTAAGCTTTCTTTCGTTTAAAATTTAAAAAAGGTTTTGAATAAATCCTAAATTATAACATTATTTAACAAAACTTTAAAAAATTCACATAATTCTCATCTTCATAGAGAGAAATTCTCAACTCTATTAGAAGAACAAATTAATTTCATTGATTCGACAACAAAATAATTTTCTTTTCATTTTCATTTTGAGACAATATTATACTACATTTTATTCTTGAATGTGAAATGAAACATTCGGCATATTTACGTTTTTTCTGTCTTCTGGCTGGACCTCCTGATGAAGGCCTCAACCAATCGAAACAATGGAACTCAACTAAGAGAAGAATAATGTTGAAGACACATCCCATACCAAGTAAATATAAAATATGTTTTCCAATGCCTGGCGTACCAAATTGGAAATAATTGGCTGGTACGGACACACAGCCAGTTGATGGACAATTATCTAGAAAAATCAAACAAACAAAATATATTATAATTGAAATGAAGTGTGACTAAACTAATCAATTTTGATAATTCACAAAGGATGCTGGATCGTTTTAATAAATATTTGGTTAGTATACTTTTGATATGGGATTTCTAGATTTCTGTATTTTGAGAATCCTATTTACAAACACGATCTCTTTTCAGGAAAAGGATCAGCAAAAAATAGGAAATTAGTAACAAGGAACATTTCTGACCCTAATACCGTGCGGGACGAAAATCACAATGTTTTAAAAAATCAATAACAGACTAAAGCTGTTAAAATTGAGAATACATACCCGGACAACAAAAATTTGGTATATCACATGCTGGTTTGAACTCAATACAAATGTCTACATACGAGCTGTAGGTGCTTAGAGATGAAATGGCATCTGCCATACTGTAATGAGGAACTATCATTAAAATATGTTGTAAAATATTAGCAACATTTTGTTGGTCAATGCCAGGAATCTGTAATATTGACACCACCATCAGTCCAGCATTTCCTGTAAAAGTGAATTTATATTAATAATAATAATAATAATAATAACAATAATTATAGTAACAGTAATGTTAGTAGTAATAAAAATACTATTTATTTTGCGTTAGTGATCTCAAAGTGTTTCTAAAGAATGAAGCGATTCTCTCTCAAATGCTGTCTGTCGTCATTGATTTTAGCAGTGTTTAGGAATTTGGTCTTGACAAATGAACAAAAGTCGTTTAATAGAGAGGCATGGTGACAACATCAAAGAGCCGAGAGAAGTTGATATGCCCATTGTGATTCAAGATCTTGACTCAGGTAAAATTTACAAATATCTGGGCATTGAGTAAAGTGAGAACATCTAGAACGACACAATGAAAGAGAGAATTCTCAGGGAGTGTTACAGAATAGAGAGAGTTATCCTGTCCTCTATGAACTCCAGGAATAAAATATCTGCAGTAGGCATTTTGGCGATGTCTTTAGCTGATCCAGTGGACTAGAGAGAGCAAGAAATCTGAATCATGGTAAAAAACAACAAACAAAATCTGCTTACAATGCATCGTGTCGCCCACCCTCGAGCTGGAGTACATACACTTTATGTGTTACATAAAGAAAGAGGAAGAAGTCTCAGGCAAATTGAAGCTGCGAAAGTATGTAGCCAGCCATCAAGACATCTCACTACTGAGGGTGGTTCTTAAATCTAATCTGATCGAAAAATGGAAAACAAAGGCAAGACAAATTGCGAAGAAAACTACACAAGACACGCAGAATAATACAGACCCTGAAGCTCTGATGCTACTTAACATGCAATGTCAGACACAAAAAATGTTAAAGAAATAGTGGAGAAACAATTCACTCTACGGACAATATCTAAAAAGAATGGATAAGTGTCCCTAACGGAGACGGTGTCGACCCGGAGGTCGATGAAAATTTAAAGGGGATCAATGAAGATGGAGGAATCTATAGACGAATATTAGCTGGCGACATAGAGATACAATCTAGATCGGTTGAGGTGCCGACTAATTGCACATCATCAGATGTTTTTTTCTTTTCTACTTTACAAGGAAAATGTAATGAAAATATAATTTAAATTGGAGGTACATAGTTTGTAGATTATTTTGGTAAATATTTTATTTTAATCAAATCTTTATTGAGAGCATGAATATGAAAAAAAAGGGTCCAAATTAGATACACATAAGTGAAACATTACTTTATAAATTAATTTAAATTACAAATTTCAGTACCGTTCATTACTATATTTGTTCACTACTTCTTCCTGTTATAATACTAATTGTTTACCCATATTTTTGACAGTCTCTAATAAATTATATTGAAGTATGAATTGTTGTAAAGGATAAGATGTCTCTAGGGGAGACGGCTAAAGAGCACTCGTGTCAAAGACGTTCATTGACATTTACAAAAGTAGTATTATAGTACAGTTCAAGTGGAAAAAGTCTCCAAAACTGAACAAACGTTACTTACCTATAAAGAGATTGAAAATTGCCATTCTTGTGTACCCACTTGCTGGTATTGTGAAGAAGAACGATGATAAATACATTAATGGTAACATGGCCCACCCAAAACAAAGTAATACTGCAAATGTTCTTCCTGAAACAAACGATAATTTAAAAGATGGTACTTTTATTAATATATTTCTGTTTGAAAACCATTAGACGACCATGCCTGTTTACGTGGCATTTCCTAGCTTAACTCGTCGACACTCACGTCATCAATGTTCTTTTGTTTGTACTTAGCGCGTCGGCCCGTGAACGGGCCATGGCCTACCAGCAATGTCCCAGCCTCGCTGGCCATGGGTTAAGTGGGTACGTGTGGTTGGCACGAAGACATCTCCACGCCGAATTCTGGTCTGGTCAACCTCAGAAGTGAATTTTCTCATCGTCACACGGCAACATATACTGGGAGCACACTATGGCAAGTAGGGAGGGTGGGATGGGAGAATGGGAGCATACTATGGATAATGGGATATTGGGAGGATATAATGGCAAGTAAAATACACACTGTGTATAATCTAGCCTCACCGGATCGAACCCAGGGTTGCGTCTTGGCCCACGCTGACCCACGAGCAAAGCCGCCAGGCCATGTTATTTTCCAAATAGAAACTCCCCAGAAGAACACTTGCGTGGCATAAACCACGCCTCTTCACATTGCGAAGGTACAATGCCACGCTCGACACAGCTGTAGACAGATAGCTACCTCACTTCAACTCCCCTCATCACCCCGGCGAGAAAAAGTGCCCAAAAGCGGCAGATTTAGGCCTTTTGATAGAAAACTAGAGGTGCTAAATCAGCACGTACTTTCGCGCTCGTACTTTCACGTAAAAGTACGTGAAAAGTACTCAAGTTTTCGAACAGTTTTATATGGCCTTATTTCAAAATCTACATTTAAGGAACGTATTTTATTGAGGGAAAAACTGTAGATCTTCATAATTGTAAATGTAGGAAGATGCCGAAAACATTTTGAATTTTTGCAATTTTCGAAATACATATTATTTTTCAAAGAAAATGAGACCTACAAAATTGTCTTAAACGTCATTTATACTATCCAACAACAAAATTTAATAAAAAACAATGGCGCAATTTTTTTAAAATTTTGATAATGTCCCAAGGGTTTCATGTAAAGTACCTTCCAAAATGAAAATAGCGGGTTTCAAATTCAAGGAGCTGCGACATCAGCCAGATTGATTGAGTCATATCAATTCAGGAGAATATCGGATGTACGGTTTAGCCGCTGGCGTTGTTCACAGACGAACAAACGGACAGTCGTTTTGCAGTCATTCGATTTTTCGGGATCAAGGTCCCCCCCAAAACATGAGTTCTGACTACATCACGTGTCAGAGTATATTTTCTTTCTAAATTTAGCAACTGGATTCGTCCACTTTTTCTTTACCAGGGCCCTGTAATAGGAGTATTTCTGCGTAAAATTTGCCTTTCCTTTTCGCAGCACTACATAAGTTTCTTTCTACTGCATAAGCGGCAGTGAGAAAGTAATTACCAGCCCATCGTTTAGCGACCCCTTCCACACAGCCAGCCACCGGTCACACGGCCGTTTGAGAGGCACACCCCCCAGGCCAACTTCGCACGCCCCAAAGCCCAGAATTCCCGCGAGAATTCAACAAAGTTCGCTGGAACTTACTTCAGAGAAAGAGAATTTGCAGACTCCGGTATAAAGAATGCTTGCTGTCCAACCAGGATTAGGAACATGCCGAAACTTCTAGAAATAGCAGAAGCGCGAGATTCTCAGCGAGACCAGAGCAAGATGTCCGCTTTCCAAATTTTCTACGGCACAATAGTTGCCGTTTTTTTTAAGCTTCTTTTTTTTGTTATTTAAGGTCGCATCAACTTCGAGGCCATTAGCAACCATTACTGCGTGTAACGGTATGGTAACTATGAGATTGACACGATATGATGAAGATACGGGGTGAAAGGACGAACACAATACAACCAAACCTGAAGCGGGACTCGAACCCACGGCACAACTGTCTTCGCGATCTCGGCCATCCGGACCGGCAATAGTTGCCGGTGATCTCAAGAACGAATATTAAAAGGTCCTTTTTAATATCTAGACAGTAAATTTTTCCTACTCTAACGTCACATATACTTTAAATAGCTTATTACTTTCTCGCATACTACTTCAATTATTATATTCAACAATTTATGTAATGCTGCAGCAATAAATATAGAAATTTCTACTGAAAAATCGGTAGTGAGCGGCTCAGATACAGTAAAAGTGGATTAATATTGATATAAAATATATAGTAAATTACTTCCTCTAACGTGTTGTGTAGTCAGAACCCTCGATTTGTGGGTCCCTGATTCTGAAAATTTGATTACGGCAAAACGTCGGTTTATCTTTCCACCTGTCTATCCGTCTGTCTGTCTGTGAACAATAATAGTGGCTAAAGCGCAAGCAGAATTTTCACGAAAATTTTTATTATTTGACCAATTTTACTGATGTTGCAGCCCCTGGATTTTAAAACGGATATTTTCATTTCGAGTTCGTATATGAAACCCTAACGACATGTTCAAATAATCTAATATTGTTCACAATTCACAATTTTTTCTACATTTTTTATATCTATTAGAGAAAAGTACACTTTTAAAAATTGCACAGATCGTATTTTCATTTAACTCTCCAAATTTTCGAAAACTCCAAATTTTTTTAGCGTTTTCCCACAACTACAGTATTGAAGTATAGAGTTTTTTTTAATAAAATCAGTCTTCAAAACTAGATCTTTTAATAATATCCTGTAAAATTTTTTCAACATATTCGCTTAATTTTGCAGTAGTTTTCACTTAATTTTGCATGCAATAATAGCAATTTTAAAAACAAGATTTTCTCAAAACTGACTGCAATTTTTTTTCTTTAAACGTTTGTTTCAAAGAGAGCGAAATATGCATTTAAAAACGCTGCAGGCTCAATTTTCGTTGAACTTTGAATTTTCGAAAATTGCTTAACGTTTCCAACTCGCGAAAGAAAGCTGTTGTAGTACATCTAGTTTAGGACAATATATGCGAGGTATCAGACAGAATGTAAAGAAAGGTTATAATGGAATAATGTTGGCAATATGGAATAATGTTATTTCTGGTAAAAATTTTACAAATTTGCAGATATAAAAGGAATTGAATTTATCCACGCATCATGATGTAATAGACACTCAGTTTGCTTTTCATTATATGAATGAAAGGCTAGAAAATAGAGAAAATATTGTAATCGAGCGCAATCGGTGTTTTTTTGACAGAAAAAACTCTTCCCAGAACCTGATAACGAAAAAGTGGATAATTCTTTTTCCTTTACTAGCATGTTGTCCTGTCAGAACACATGTTTTATAGGTTCAAAAAACGATTATCCCTCTCTAAACCTTTGAACGCCCCAAAACTCTCTTCCAACGTGTGAGGTAGTGTACTGCATGTAAAAGCGTGTGTGTGTGTGAGTGTATGGGAGAGAGCAGGGGACAAGGATAAGGAAGGAAAGAGCGCGCACGGTAGTTTTTTCTGTTTGTGCAGCAGCTAGAATTATCCTCGTGTGTTTGTTTCGTGGTTTCTCCAATCAATACCAGGCGGATGCTGGAGTAGCATCCTAATAAACGGGCCATGGACCGAGCGAGGTATTTCCTTCCTCGTCCCTGATACCTTTTCTCCTCTTAGATACACTTACTTTCATCCATTTCACTACCACATGTCGAGAGATCAGTTGGATGCTTAGAGCGTGTCTTGGCTAGAGCAGTCCTCCTCTGGAGAGGATATGTCGACGAAGGAAAACACTCAGCTGACATGTAGATTGGTGCCAGAGCTCAAGTACTAGCGGGGAACACCGAAATCTCTCAGAATGTGCTTCCACTACACTTACTAATAAACTAAACGTCCGGAATCAGTTAATTATTTACCATCACTATAATTAAGACCTTGAAGATCCCACTTATCTCTTACATATCGTGATCATATTTCTCATTCATTTGGATATTTGCCTTTAGAATGAAGTACATTCAATAATATTTCACATAAAAGATCCTTTTTCAAAAATCAATTTCAAAAATAGTTTTTGTAAAAGCCAAATAATATGAATTATTTTGTAATAACCTCATTTTTAAAAGAAATATGACGGTATTCAGTTCTGAAAATATGAAGTATAACTGACCTAGTTGTGAAAAAGTTGCAAAACCGTCTTCTTGAAATGCAGCTAGAGTGATGATAACTCCCAGGGCAGGGAGCAAAAATGACACAAAGTCACAAAGTAGATGTACTCCCCAAAACACAATAACATTTACGCCAGAGACAAATTGTAGGTGCTTGGCTTTGCTGATTCGCTCCTTTATCGGGAACAAGATGTAATACGATGCTACAAAAGCCATACTAAATCCGAAGTTAAAGGCAATTTGAAAACCGATGCTGTTTCCATTTTCAATCAAAGAAGCCTGAAATAAATAAGAAACATTAAATAAGAATTATTTTCCAAAGACAATAGAAAAAAAACGTATTCACGTTACAAACCTGTGATTCGTGTGTATACGGCAGAGGGTAATTAATGAGGTCTAATGATACATCAACGGCTTTTAGAAAAGCATTGTACAGTAAGTTCAGAGCTAGAGGTGCAGAATGATAAGGTTGGTCATTGAACCATCCAACAAAATTCGCAAAAGTATTATTTACATCAAGAGATGCACCAGCAATTAGCGATCGACGAGTCTCTGCCTCATTTTTTCTAAACTGAAAAAAAAATCATATAAGTGACAATACATGAATATAAGGGTTACGTAAAGATAAACATTTTTTATTCAAATAATCGTAACCCGATACATTTAACTAAATGTTATATTTAACTTGTATATTTCATTATGATTATCATATATTCAGCTACAGACATTGACGTAACAACAATTCAATAGTTCAATTTAATATAGAGTACTAAAGTATTCATATCTTGTCATTATGATTTCTCAATATTCATCTTATAGTATCTGCAAGAACTATGGAAACTGTCTGTACATCGCTATTTCAATGGCCTTGTCCTCTTTCAATGGTACCAAATTTATTCTGATATGTATGTTTTTAATTTTATCGCATACTATATACGTAGTGTAGAGAAATTAATGTAATAATGCAGCGAAAAAGCGCGACGTTTGGAAAAAAAACGTTCTCCAGTGTAATGAACGCTTCCAAAATGGCGGAGGCGTCAGCGTTTTTGAAATATCTGAATTTTTTAAAATTGCGAATGTTTCTTTTTTTCGGTGTCTTCTATCAACTACAGTGTTGAAGATAGAGATTTTTCCTCTGAATAAAATTTGTTTTTTAATACTATATCTTTAAATGATGATATGTGCATTTTTTAAAATGTAAATGGTTTCGCATAATTTCGAGTTAAATATGGGTAATGTTAAATTTAGAAACAAGATTTTATGAAATACGGATCCAAATATTATCTCTCAACTTTTGAGCCGATAATGACACATGTATGAAATAAACTCCATTTTGAGGTAGAAGTTAGATTTTTCAAAAATTACACAAAAGTATTTTTCTTTTTACACCTCTCACGTCGATAATATTCATATTAGGGGCGTTTGTTAAGCATAATTATATTTGTGACAACAAGTGCTTCAAATGATTTCTTAAGAACTTTCTCGAAAGCTCATAACTGCCCTCTAAAAATGAACTCAAAATTGCGCATATTCAGGTTTCACAAACGACATTTTCTTAAAATTGGCTCGGAATTTATTCTCAAACTTTTTGTACGAGTAGGGCTAAATACGCTAAATTACATGATATATACGCAATTTGGATGTATATATTTGATTTTACAAACACGACACAAAGGAAAATGGTAATATGGAAAATTTGGAAATATCTTTTACCTCGTTAATATTTACATTAAGGCCATTTTCTTTGTGTTATTGCATTTGTGAACATAAGTGCTTCAAATTATTTCTTAGGAATTTTCTTGGAAACTCAAAAGATTTTTCTATGAAACTGAGCTCGAAATTGAACCTTTTCGGAAACGCTCAACCACATTTTCTCTAGAATTTTCAAATGAAAATTTGCGTACAGAAATATGTATATTTTAATTCCACTATTAGGTAAACGAAAAATTGGAAAAAAAGCTGTAAAAAATCGTTTTGACACTAATAGCAGCAGGCCAAGGTTCGAGAATACCGAAATGTAGCCTAGACTTAAGACACAGGAAAACTAACTAGTATGTGCCACTCTGTAATACTATTGGAACCTTTCACTGGTATATTATACCAATCACTGGTATGTACTATTTGAACTGTGTTATGACACTATATCGGTAAGTCGTATGTATACAAACATTTTATATTTATTAATTTATGTTTTCATCTATGTAGATAACCTGTTATGTGTTTAACCCCTTCAAAGTTACCTGATGAGGTAGTCGTAAAAGTCACAAAACGTAGTAGTTAATGAATGGAATTCTCATTTACTTTCCCTACGTCATTTGACTGAACCCTCAACGGCTTTTACTTATACAATAAACATATTAAAGAATCATGAACAAGTTATTGTTAAAACAATAATAATATTTGTAGTACCAATAAATACTTTGTGCCATCAGTTGATAAAATAGGTTCAAGTTGTAAAAAAACAAATGTGGACGTTTGCAATTTCTATTTTTTTAGAATGTAACAAATCAATTTAATTAAATGCCATGACTAATTAAGTGATTCCATATGTAATTCACTTCAGACGCTCACACAAGATCATCACTTAGACAAAGATGCTCATCTTCCTTAAGTAACTTTCATTTACACTAAATATTGGCAAGAAAGAAGGACATTTTGTTACACTTTTCGTGTAAGAGCATTGATAAAAAAGAATATTGCTGAGAAAATATTTATAAAAATACAAAATTCTTACCTCATCCAATAAATATAAATGAACACGTCTTTCCGGGTTTTCATCTTCTAGAAGAGTTAAATTGCTGTCTTTTGCTGTATTTTTGTAATTTTCAGAAGCAGTGTTAATGAAATCAGAAACTATTTGATTACTGAAGCCATTAGGTTTTGCCAGAACGGTTCTCGGCTCTGTGTATTCCTAAAAAATATTCACAAATTTAAAAATTGTCAATACAACAAATTTCATTTAAGCATTAAACATTATCAAAATTAATCATAAAATTTAAGGGAAAAAGTTTCAGCAGGGTTAAGAAAATGTTGCAATCTTTCTTTGTTATCTTTCAGGCATTACATAGGCGGTTCCATAATTTTCCGTCCTGACCAAGATATCCTTCATCAATTAGGAAACATTCTGAGTTGTTTATAACCTTATCTTTTATTGTTGTAATGCTGTAAGTTTGCACCTTACACCTCACTTAGTTTTGTGGAGATAGGTACTTGAGTTGGATGCGGTGCGTGAAATATAATGTTTAGCTTATTTACGAAAACGCACCGGTGTTTATTACTCAGATTGCAAAGAATGAAGAACTATGGGTTTAAAGATTTGTACCATAGTCCAGATTGGGCGCCCAGCGACCCCTATCACACATCAAAACTTAGGAAAAACCTATGAGGAAGTGTCAGACGAGGGTGAAGTGAAAGAAGCAGTTTCTGGCGTTTTTGCGAACAAAAATTTGGATATTTTTTTCAAAAGTCTAGAAATGTTAATATACAGATGTGGAAAGTAGGTCAGAGTAAAAATGGTTAAGTTGAAAAGTAACGTAATATTTTTCTTTCTGTCAAAAATAGACGTTATTGAGGCCAGAAACGTATGGAACCTACCACGTACGTGCAATTAATTTTGACTGGTTCAGGATTAATGCAAGCAATCGCAAACATAAAACAAAACTAAGGGAAAAACTAAGGAATATGAAAACTATATTTTGTAACAATTATAACAATACGTTACATTAGTAATGAATCTTTGTTTTTAAGCAACTGTTTGAAATAGTATTTTAGTGTACTTAATTTGTCTGTAGAGTAGAAATTGATATGTGTTAGGAAAAACTTTCAAAATACTTTTTTTGTTTATTATTCCCAAATAAACTAAATCATATTGTTCGTTTCATTCTGTAGAATGAGCAAGTTTACGCATTGGACTGTTCATTCTTACGTTTGAAGAATTCAATGCTTTTCGGATACCGCTCACAATAGAGGAAACGTAATTTTTTAACACAAAATTTGGCAGCGTTATAGGCAAGCGTTTTAATATATTCATACGTACAACTAGAAAACATACTGAATTAGAGATACATCATTTTGGAAATATTCTCTTTATTTTCTTAATATACTTAATTGTTTTCGGTGTTGTATTTCAATTATTTGGCGAAATTCTTTCCTAGAGTTGTTTTGACACTTTTAATCTATTATCAGCTGTCCCAAAGACTGTACCTCCAATAAAAGACCAACCATTACGCATGTAAGAGTTAGCGCAACATCAACTTCCAAGATGATGTGCGAAATGACAAGGAAAATGATCACGGCAAGATTTGAAAACGCGATTCTTCTGAGTGGGATGGAAGAGCAACTCGCTCTTATAGCTTCATATAAGGCGCGACCTTTTCTTCCTCATACGTGTCCCGTCCTTTTCCCCTTACACGCAGCAGATTACCTCCATCGGGAGATCACTCGGGAGCTTAGAGCTTTATCCATCTGGGGCGTCGCCCCGTCGGAGGGATAGATTCGGAGGGGGAAACCCCGCAAGTGTAGGTTGGCGTCGGATCTCACGTTCAAAAGAGGAGAAACACAACTTTACGGAATTTACGGAACCAATGTTTACATTAATTGACGCGCTCGGGAACGAAATGTTAATGTCGCTGTATCAACAGAACAAATATCATGAAGTAATAACGTCAGTATGAGAGAGAGAGAGAGAAAGGGGGGGGGAAGAGTGAGATAGAAGAAGCACAAGTGGGAGAAATCATGGGAAGGTGCAAGAAAGACCCACCTGAAGACTGATGTCTCTTGAAGGAAGGGTGGTCACTACTTCCCACATGCGTCCCATGAGGATGGCTATGATGAGAAAGAGGACGGGAAGCAAGAAGTGCACCAAAAGCAGCACCCATCCGCGCAGCAGGGCCAAGGCCTTCTTCATGAACATCGCCTGCAGCTGGTAGGAGAGCAGTTGCGAGCCGCCTTTCGTGATTTGCACTGGGAACCAACATCACATATCACAAACCACACGTCTCCCACGTGTCCACACAAACCACACGTCGCTTTGCTTGATTAAATTGAAGCAAATTAATGATTAGTTAAATTTCGCAAAATACAAAATAGATATGTGTATATATGTGCGTGCACGCAATTTTCATAGTCTGCATTAATTTGTTTTCGGATTCAAAATGCAGGCTCCTGGCTATTGAGAAGATTCCTAATTGGTTGTACCTAGTAGTAATACGTGTCTATGAAATGACAGACACAAAGTAATTTAATTCTCACAAAAAATTCAAAATTAAAACGGTGTTAAAGAACAAATCCGACAACTTACTCAATTCGACAATATCATATTATAAAGGTTAGATAATTTATATTTATTTTATGCAATTACGCACTTCATTTGTATAAAGTACCCACAAAACATGGATTCTGATTACCCTACGTGATAGAGGCTTTTTTTCTAACTTTGCAACCACGTTTTTGTTACCAGAGACTTGAAATAAGGGGTTTTCTGCCGAAAATCGCAGTTTTTCGCGTAGCATTACATATCTGTCTAACTACTGCGAGAAAGTAAAAAAGAACCGACGGTTGGCAATGGTGGCGCTGCGCAGCAGGGGAAGGGGGAAGGGGAAGGGGGCGTACTCACGCGTGGTGTGCTGGAGGGGCGCATCAGCGTCAGAAGGAGGGGCCTCGTCCCCCACTGGCAGCTGGACGGTCCCGTCCGCCGTCGCCACCAGGCTCTCCTGCGAGTACTGGTAGTGGCCGTCCTCCATCGCCACCTCGTGGTCCTTCCCCACCCTGAGCGGGACAAAGGCTACTCAAGCTCAAGCTCCTGCTCCTGCTCAAGGCGGCGAGCACGCGAGAGGATGCTCGCCAAGCAGCCAAAGCACGGAGCCAATGATCTTGGCTTGTATATTTTGAATGAGCGAAGACTAGGGGATAAGCTTTTACAGGGCTGCCAAGCACGCAATCGTGTTGAGACAGCCTCCGGGAAAACTCAGATTTACTTACACAAAATGAAACCTTTAAATATAATAGAACACCTTTTTGAAAAAATACAAATAATAATTAACGTAAGAACTTCTATTAAATTATTTCAATCAATTAAAAAAAATATTTACGACAAACAAATATGTGTTTAGTTTCTGATCGCCAGAGATGGGGGTTCTAATGATCTGCGTTTTTTAATTTTTGTTAAATCCAGCCCTGCTAGGGAGTTAATTAAGTATTAAAAAGAATTGAAGCCACACGTGGATTTATATTATTAAATATTTAGAAAATACGAAAATTAATGAAACGATGATACATAAAATAATCACGAACAGATTTGGACTGTAGACTTAAGGCTACATGGTCCTTGGACAGTAGGTCAGCGCGCGCGCCACGTACTTCATGAAGACCTCCTCCATGGTGGTGAGCGAGACGCCGTAGCTGAGCACGTGCAGCGCCTCCCGCTGCTGCTCCAGCTCGCGCAGCATGGGCTCGAAGCGCGGCGCGTGCTCCTCGTCCAGCTGGTAGCTCAGCTCCGACCCCACGTCCTGCGCCGGCGCCAGCCCCGCCACGTGGCGCGCCAGCAGCGCCGTCACGGCCGCGGCGTCGCAGCGCGCGCCCTTCACCACCACCAGGCGGTAGCCCGCGCCGTAGCGCTTCTTGAGGAAGAAGGGCGACCCGCAGCACTGCAGGCGCCCGCCCGCCATGATGGCGATGCGGTCGCCCAGCAGGTCGGCCTCGTCCATGAAGTGCGTGGTGAGCAGCAGGGTGCGGCCCGCCTTCTCCTCGCGCAGCAGGTCCCACAGCGCGCGCCGCGCCGCGGGGTCCATGCCAGACGTCGGCTCGTCGAACATCACCACCTGCCAACCACGCGCGCCTTGTCCAGCAGCACGACCCAACATCGAGCGAAAGCACAAGTCTCTCAAGATGCCCATCCTCTCAGGTACTCGACACTCCTTGGGCATTTGTTCAACGAAGAAATGAAATTTTCACGCTGAACTGCTGAGCAAGTTGCTTGCGCTTACCTTGGATTTTCCGCAGAGAGCCACACCCGCAGCCAACTTTCGCTTCATGCCACCAGACAGCGTGCGTGACTGCTTGTGTTCCTTTGGCTCCAATTGCAAAAGTTGCAAATACTTCCTGATCTCGTCCTCCAGCTCCTTTCCAGACAGCCCCTTCAACTACAGAGGAAAGTGAAATATACATAAAAATTTCATTATATATCAATAATAGTTGTTTACATTGTAAAGGCAATGCTTGGTTTGTTTTGAAAAGGCTTTATTCGTAATGTATTATTTTCTCAAATTTTGACTACATGGTCGCGGTCGCGGCAACACTCAATTTTAGAAACCAGCCGATCGCTTGATAACTTTTTGTTTTCTCAATTAATTGATATTATTTTCTTCGATATACGTATCTCCATGTAAATAACGCCAGACTTGATTACTATTGTAACTTGGACTGTTAGACACAATTACTAGATCTTTAATGCATGAAATTCTTAAACAATTTTATTTAAGAGATAATAGTAAAGATACCAGATAATCATTGCCGTACTATCAGCGCATACTTAGGTCAGCCAAGAATTATACGTATAAAAAATAAAGATAAAAAACTGAAAGCAAATAATCTGTTCCATTAGCGTAACATGTGAGATCAATGACATTAAAAAATACATTACAATGAATTTTTATATGTTTATATGTACTACTGTTTCATCTAAAATAAATGGGGTTGAAATAAATGGGGTTGAAATAAATAAATAAAAATTGAGAGGGAGGGAGAGGGAGGGAGAGGG